ACGGGAGGTAAGAGATCATATCCGATCAACCGTCGGAAAAATCCTCATTCGTCCTCGTTTCGTTCCGGTAGAATGAAAATAACAATATCGCCTCTATTTAGAGATTTTATTAAACGTGGAAAATGGGGAAACTCTACGAATCGGCAACCTCTACGAAAGAGCATTCTCCATTGTCGGATGTTTGCGCAATTTAAAGTAGCAGAAGGAAAAAAAGGAAGAAAAAAAAAAATAGTCTGCATCTCTCTAAAGTTAAAAACTGGAAGTGCGCGATAAAGGGGTGAAATTAGCTCGGCTAATTTTTGTCGGCTAATTAACCGTCGTTGGAAACGACGCGGACGATGCGTGGCCCCGCAATGCGAAATCCGTTCCGTATTTAAAACGAAGCGTATTTTTCATCGTCGAATTAAAGTAGAGATCGAAAATCGAATCATAGATCCGAGAAGACGATCGCATAGCACAACTTAATAGAGATACGATCGATTCGAATTTTAATAAACGATCCATTTTCGATAGAGCGTAATCGCAGTGTCGAAATCACACAGAGAATTAAGAGAGAATTAAGAATAATAAGTTGCTTGGAAACACAAGCTTGGTTCACTAACGATAAAAACACGATTTTAATCGATTCGAGTTTTTAGCTGAACGTAACCGCGACGAAATCGAGTAGATTTAAGAGGACAGTAGCTGTGTAAATACAATTACAAAAAATACGATCGATATTTTTAATAATCCGATTTAACCTTCGATAGAGTAGAGCAAAAGTTGGTTAAATCATTTATCACGGTTACCAAGTGGAGAGGAAGAGGTTCGGTCGCCAACTGTTGGGATAATCGCGTTTCCCGCGACTCTGTTCCGCTCTGTACACAGGTTTACGCGTGAATACAACGATCCGTTTTCGATTCCGTTCAAACGTACGCCTAGCACGGAATCGAAGGACGGAACGAGGGTAAATATTTGGGTGGAAGGGATCAGAGGTATGGCGTCGCGATTTAACGTACGAGGCGTTTTGTTTGGAAGATAGTTTTTTTGTAGTAAGCACGAAACGATAGATTATCGAACGATTATTGAAACGTTGAACGCAGTGTGTCGTGTCACAGGAAGAAGGATTACGATGGGCCAAGGCGTACTCGATGATGGAGAAGCAGCAAAAGAGGGCGGTGCACGAGGAAAGCCGAGCTTATACCATGATCAAGGTACGTGAGTAATTGTATCCTGACAACCGGCAAATTCCTTTTGATACACGAGCCTCGATGTCCAATCCGCGCCATCCTTTAACACAGCGAGAATCAAAACACCGATTATATTATTGATCTTTAATATCGTCGAGTAGGAAAGATCAAACGCGATACACGTTACACAATTGCCAATATTTTTCATTATCGCGAATGGAATATCGTATGGAACGCGATAATGATTAAATGAATTGATAAGCTTCTATTATATGTATAAGTATTGATCCATATAACCAGTAATACGTACGTGTAAATGGAAATGCGTTGTTTCGCGCACCTTTGCTACAAGAATAAATTAATTAAATCTAATGTATTAAATATTATAGACAATTATTGGGGTTATTATCAGAGTCGTGTATTTCTACGTATGATACTTTTAATTTTTTTTTTTTTTTTTTTTAAATCG